GGTGTGCGCCCGGGAACCGAGGCCATCGGGATTGAGGGCAGCCGGTGTGCGCCCGGGAACTGGGGCCATCGGGAATGGGGGCAGCCGCTGTGCGCTGGGAAAGCGGGGCCGTGGGGAACGGCGGAAGCCAGTGTGCGCTCGGGAATCGAGGTAGCTGCGGGGCTGAGCAACCGGTGTGCGCCGGGGAACTGGGGCCGTGGGGAGCTGGAGCAGCTGGTGTGCGCTGGGATTTCGTGTGCACTGGGGAAACGGGAAAACTGAGGAACTGGGACAGGCGGTGTGCACTGGGGAACCGGGATAGCTGCGGGACTGCAGCCACCACACCCAGGGAACTGGGGCCATGGGGATCTGGTGTGCACTGGCAATCTGGAATAACTGAGGAACCGGGACAGGCGCTGTGCACGGGGGAGCGGATGCGCCCCGTGAACTGGGGCACCAGGGCCAGTGTGTGCGCCGCGCCGCTGGGAGCAACCCACGGGAGTCGCTGCGACACCGGTGGGACCTGTGTACACCGCAGCCGACTGTCCTGCCCGGCACTCCGCGCCGCCGGCGGTGCCTCCCAGTACCTCTGGGCCGGTCCCGGTAGCGCGCTCCGCCGCCGGGGCGCGGCCAGGGGGCGGGGCCGAAGGCGGGGTGACGCACTTCCGCCCGCCGCGGTGACGTCACGGGCGGCCGCCGGTGTCCAGGGCGGGTGCGGCGCCGGATGGAGTGGCCGTGGGAGCACCGGCGGGGCCGCAGGTACTGGGGGACCGGAGCAGGGCAGAGCTGCGCTGGGCTGCCTCCTCACCACTGGGAGGCGGGAAGCGAGGCGGTGCGGGTGTCCTCGTCCCGGCGGCGCTTTCGTGGCCGCCCCGCTGCTACGGCGGGGCAGCCCGGGGGCTGCTCTGAGGCCGAGCGAGGCCCCGTGGGGCGGTGGGGCAGGAATGGCCTCGAGTGAGGCCCGCCCTAGGTGCGGGCTGTGCTGAAGCCGAGTGTAACCGCGGCCTTCAGCCGCAGCTCGGGGGGCTCTGGGCTGCTAGGACCCTTCTGCTCCTTCCCTTCGCGGCCCGAGGCCTCGTCTCCGCAGAAATGCTGAGCGTCCGCTCCTCGGAGGGACTCCCTGGAGGAGCCAGGAGTCTTGTTACTCCCCGCGGGAAGGAGCGAGTGCCTGGTCTCTGCCCTTTGCAGGGTGCCCGAGTGGCCCGGCGCTAGATGCGGGGATGACTGACAGCTAGAGCGATGCTCAGACATGAATGCTGGGCACAGCTGCCGTGAGACTGGTACGGTAACGCTGCAGCAGCTTCTTGCTGCTTCGCTGAGGGACAGGGCCTCCTTCAGCAGCTGATGGAAAGCCCTACCCAGGCTCTCCTGGAGGGCACTGCGGGCAGGTAGACTCGGATGCCTGAGCAGTGAACGTCCCAGGCTGGGGAGGTGGTGATGCAGATGGCAGGCACGTGCCCTGTTGATGGCTAGCCAAGGGGCTGTTCCCTGTGGGCTGGTTGTGGGAAACGTCGCTGAGTCTGAGTCTTTCTTTCTGGCTGTTCCTCCTAGAGGCACCCGGCAGTAGGTGTGAGCTGTTCTTGCCTGGCTCCTGCAGTAGCCTGGCGCTCTGGTGTCTGATGATGAGTGTGACCCCGACCAGGGGATGCCTCCTGGACCTGCCCTGGGAAGACATCTTGGTTCCACATATCCTATGTCATCTGCCACTGCAGCAACTCCTGAGCCTGCAGAGGGTCAGCAAGTCATTCCAGTCTCTCATCCAGCTCTACCTGGCCAACATGCGCTGCTTTGACTCAAGCCAGGTATTGGATGGCTCTGAGGCTGGGGGAGGACACGGATATCCTACTGCCCTGAAACTAACAGGGGAGCATCTATGTGGGGAGAATAAACCCTTGGCAAGGAGGGTAGTTTCTGCTCAGGAGCTTGGGTGAATGGTTCAGGTGTCAAACTGGACAGATGGGCTTAGGGAGGAGAGGCAGTGATTCAGGACCCAGCAATGCCAGTGTCTTGAGTAAGAGGCCCTGGGAGGAGTAGGCCTGGAAACTCCACCCAGGCTATTATGGGGCACTGGTTGGCAGAAACAAGTTTTGAAGTGGCAGGTCCTCATGAAGGTTGTGCAGTAGGTTGGGTCTGATGGGAGATAACTCTGTGCTTGGTCTTCAGGGAAAGTTTGTGGTATTCCTGGGAGCTACTGCCTGGGACTGGGAAAGACTGGAGTAGCTGCCATTCTGTGAGGACACAGTGGTCTAGCAAAGAGATTTTTGGAGAGCAGAGGTGTGGAGCTCATCATGAGTATATGAGTGCATGTAGTGATGATGTGGGATGGAGAAATGTGAGTATCATCTAGCAGTAGTCTTGGCATGAGGTGAGCAGAGTCTGATGGTAGGGTTTGCCCTGGGATGAAGACAGGGGATGGCTTTGGTCACTATTGTCACAGAAGAAGAGAGGAGGGGAGAGAGTATTTGATGAGGACCAAGCTTATGTGAAACCCTGGGGGAATGCCTCATTCTTCCTGGGTTCCCCACGCAGATTGGACCTGCCATCCCTCGAGCTGCTTTTGTTAACCTGTTGAAGGACAACGAAGTTCTGCAGCAGCTGGCACTCCAGAACTGCTCCGACTGGCTGACAGACCGAGAACTGCTCCCGGTCATTGGGCAGAACCACCACCTACACCAGATCCAGCTGAAGGGCTGCGCCCAGCTCAGCCGCCACGCGCTCGTGGCCATCTCGCTGAGCTGCCCCAACCTGCGCCAGCTCTCCCTGGCTCACTGTGAGTGGGTGGACAGCCTGTCCCTGCGCAGCCTGGCTGACCACTGCAGGGCGCTGGAGGCTGTGGACCTGACGGCCTGTCGCCAGCTGAAGGACGAGGCCATCTGCTACCTGGTGCAGAAGTGCAGCAGGCTCAAGTCTCTGTCACTGGCTGTCAATGCCAATGTGGGCGACGTGGCAGTAGAGGAGACTGCCAAGTGCTGCCCAGAGTTGGAGCACTTGGACCTCACAGGGTGTCTACGAGTCAAGAATGACTCCATCAGGTACTGAGCAATGTGGGGAGCCAGGGTGGGGATGGCAGGAAGAGAACTAGAGAGAAAAGTCAGATGTCTTCATGCTGAAAGCAATGAGAGCTTAGTCTGGGAGAGAAGCCACTAGCAGGCCCTTCAGGGAAGGTGCTGTGTGCTATTGACAGCAAATTTCCCAGCATATCATGGAGGGTAGGTCTGGGATCCAGATGTCCCTTGACTTTATCTCACACCACCATGGTACTGTCCCCAAACGATGGTGCATGTGTGGCACAGTCACGAGTGCTGGGCTGCTGGGAGCACAGGTGGTGCACTTAGAAGTCCTGCCTTGCAACTTGCATATGCTCTCTTTCTTGGCAGGGTCCTGGCTGAGTACTGTCCCAAGTTGCGCTCGCTGAAGGTCAAGCATTGCCACAACGTGGCCGAGTCCAGCTTGAGCATCCTTCGAAGCCGTGGGGTGGAGCTGGATGTGGAGCCTCCGCTGCAGAGGGCTCTTGTTCTGCTGCAGGATGTGGTTGGCTTCGCCCCTTTCATCAACCTTCAGATCTAGAACTGCTGCTGCTGGGGAGGGGGGGACTGACACAATGCTGGGATCCCAGAAGGATGTGGAAACTGGCTACTGTGGAGACGTACAGAGGGAGAGGTCAGTCCCATTGGTGAGGCTGGCCTGAGTGGGGCTCATTCTTTCCTCTGGGGCTGTTTAGCAGCCACTGAGTGTTCACAAGTGAACTTCATTGGTGCCTCTGGGGAAAGTAACTCCCTCTGCAGTGGCGTGGAAAGAGCGAGTGATTTGCAGGAACACCATGGTGCTGAACAGGCCTTGGTCAGGCCAGCTAATAGATAGGATTTATTATTTGTTGTATTTTAAATCTTTAAGCGGCAGCTGTCCAGAAAGCAGGAGAGTGTTTGATGGGGACTGTCCCCTGGGTTGGCTGTGCAGGGCATGCCAGCAGAGCTGTGGAACAAACCAGACCAGCTGGAGCACAAAGAATAGCTACCAGCCCTCCTCCTGGGAGAGGGCAGGCCCCTCTGGGCCCTGGGAGGAGGGCAGTGAGCCTAGCTCCAGCCCACAGCCATAGGCAAGCCTGGCACCAAAGGACTAGTATGGCCCCAGTGCAGGCTGTGTGTCTGCCCAGGCCTAGCATGGGCCATGGAGCAAGGTGGGAATTGTTTTCAGGGGAAACACGCTCCTAATGGCAGTTTGACCGACAGAAAAACGCCAACCTAGTGCTGTCACTGCAAACAGCTGGTCATTGTCATTTGTTTCTTCCAGCATCTGACTTAACATTTTAGTAGTGCCCAGGCCTGCTACTGTATTTTGCTCCCTGTTGTGTGGCTCGAGCTTTGGCTCTCAACAGTGGTGAAAAACAGCAGGAGCACTGACTGCCATCAGCTGGAGTTTATGGAGAGAGCTGCAGATTGTGCTGGCAGGGAGAACCTAGTTCTGGAGCCTAAGGCCTTTTATCTGCTAGGCAGTTAATCAAACAGCAGCTGCATCTTGAGAACGTGATGAAGAGAGTAATTAGAGGAAGAGAGGATGACCCTGCTCCTGTCTTTGGCCCTGGGAAGGACTGGAGGCAGTGTTGTAAAGCATGTGCATGCTCTGGCTGAACTACACACCAACTCACATCATCTTTATTAATGCTGGCACTCAAAGCAACAGTGCACAAAGACTTGTTAAAAAGGTTGCTGCAAAAGCACATGCCGCATCTCAGATCTAAAAACGTCCCATGCAAGGAATAGCAGAGAATGCCCAGGTCCTGGAGAGCCACTGATGTGTGCCCCTGGGGTCAGAGGGATAGCTACACAAGGAGAAAAGTGTCCTCAGCCAGGTTAGTTGAGGAAGCTGAAAGCAGTATCCTGGCTTCCAGGTTAGTTCAAGTTAATGGCAGGTGGAGTTGCCTCATTCCTAGCACCACACATCCATCCTGCCATGCCTGGCAGTGAGGTGAAAGGCTGAAGAGCAGGAGAACCTGGCTCTCAGTGGAACTTGTACTTCCTGGCTGGTTTTAGGCTGATGTAGGTTCTCTTCATCTCCTCACTCTCAGGCTTCTTGATGTCTTTGTACCTCTCTCCTTTTGTACTCACCACCTGGTTATCAATATAGCGGATCAACTTCTTGGGAGCCTGGAGAGAAAATATGTTAACACCAAGTGGATGGACAGCCACAATGCTAGAGAAAGGGAGGGGGGCAAGTAAAAGCAGAGCTGCACTATGCCAGGTGGGTGGATGGGCTGCTTTACCATTGTGTGTTGGGAATTTTGGCCAAAACTGGGAAGGATGGGAGGGAGCAAGAGCCATGGTAGTCCAGGAAGGTAAGAATTGACATTCCCTGCAGCACCTTAGCTGAGCTAATCCTTCCTCTCTGACTGACACGTTCTATGAAGGGAGTTGCCTTTAGCCTGCCCTGTTGTTTTTTGGACTTGTAGCCTGGTTTTATTTTAAACCTTGGGACAAGCAAACTGCTGGTGAGCTGGGCCTACTTACCTCTTTGGGTGGAGCTGGCCGATGTGTTTTCTGATCGTCTGCACTATCCACCATCATGTATCTGAAACACAGGAAGCATTTAGTGAACACTAACATACATTGCCTGGGGCTACTCACAGGCTATGTCCCTTCTCCGCTGACTGGTTTGTGGCTGTGCAATACGGCCTACTTGCCTAGATTGCAGCTAGGAGAACTTTCCCCTCTGGATGAAATGGGCAAGAAGATGGTGAAAATCTGGTGAAAATCTAGCAGGATCTCCTGGAGTAGCACCCTTAGCTGTATGTGAAGGGTATTGAAAACTCAGGTGGTTGAGAATGCTGATAGCCACTACAGAGCTGAGAGGTACTGAGGTCTGGTGTGCTCTGCCATCAGGGCAGCTTTGTTCCTTCTCAGGCCAAGTGATGGCAGCCAGATGAGACACAGGTGAGACTACAGGACCAATCTGCTTTTGCCCTGAATGATGGTGCAAAGAGGCTTTCACACTCCTCCTACTACTTGACTGTGAAACAGGTCTGTGCTGGAAGCAACTTGATAAAAGCATCACCTCATTTCCTATGTAACTGAAACATCAGGGTCCAAGCATTTGCTTGCTGTACTGCTGAGTTGCTACTCTGAGATTTTGGTGCTGGTTTAGCACAGGTGACCATGACTTCTCCCTCAGTAGTTAGTATAGTTGCTCTTGTGTATCTTCAGCTATGGCGATCTGCTTTCTGTACCTGTGCTTGAGTGATGTTTAAAGTACAGGATGTTGCCAAAATGTCATTAAAGTGAAGTTCTCAGAAACATAACAAGAAGCTGGTGCTTTTTTGTTCCCTTGCCTGTCACTCTGAAATGAGCCTGCACAGGAGATGGGCAAGGACAGGGATTACTACTTCTACCTGAATGCTGTTCTGCCTTGCTTTATCTTTCATAGCCCATCAACTGTTTATCCTGTCCCTGAGGAGAATGTAAAGTGAAAAAGATGTGGATGGGTAGACGTGTGGAAGCTGCATGCCTGCATGATACTCATGAAAGATGAGATCTTAAAGCAGACTGATGAAACCAGTGTGGGTTCTCCCATTGAGAATTAAATGCTTTTAGAAATGAATACAGGTAAACTAATCTAAAGCTACTTTCATTCCCAAGGAGTCCATAGGACTTCAGAGAGGCTTCTTTAAATGCACTGAATTCACACCTTCAGCAATTGAGATTTAATCTTCCCAGTGCTGTTGTACATGCAGTCTCTTGACAATATCTTTACCCTTGTTTGGACTGTCTCCAAGAATGAAAGTATGAATGAGTTACTGTAGTTCTACAGGTCACCATGTGTTTGTTACTTGAGCTGTTGCATGATGTTTGTGCCTTGAACCCTTAACCAGGACCTCAGCTAACAGCACTGTGACTTACACTGGATTTACAGGAGGCTGACACCTTGCATGCAGCCATTGCTGTGACCCAGCTGGTACAGGTAATGTGTTTCTGTGCCAGAGCTCTAAAGGAAACCAAACCTGTCCTGTTGTTTAGGTTTTGTGGGTTTGGTTTTTGTTGGGGTTTGTGTGTATGTGTTTGGTTTGTTGGTGTTTTTTGTTATTTTTTTTTTCTTCCCATCTGATGATTGTATTTGTGCTTAGATGTGTTCAGCTAATATCCACTCCTAGCTCTTTACAGACCACACTGTTCCCCAAACTGCTACCTCTTCATTTATTTGGCGTAAAACAAGGGGTTCTTTGCTGCTGGGTACTTACTTCTGTAGAATGACCTGTTTTAGTTCCTCGTGGTTGGGTGCTCTGCGGGGCCGTGCCAGTTCCTGGGAGGAGACAAGTTGGTCTGTGAATAGCACAATGGGGCATACAGTTTATCCACTAGCTCAGTGAACCTAGCTGCTGGTGGAGCACTCCAGCCCCTGGGGGAAAGGGGTGCCAGCCATAGCTCCACGGGGGTCCTGGCTTGATTGTGGGCACAGCCTATACTCTGAGAGCAGGGGAGGGAGAAGGGCTGTGGCTCTGCATGACCCTGGCTTATTGTGCATAAAGTTTCTGCAGTCAAAATTTCTGCTTGTAGCAGACAGCTGTGGCACCTGCACGTCCCCAAGCTCTGCCCTGCTCCTTGGCCCACTGCCACCCCGGTCAGAGTACAGTACCTTCACACTCGCACCTGATGGGCCAATTTCCACCTTCTCCTCCACAATTAATTGCACTGCCTCTTCCAAGTTCCCCAAGGCCATGGCGAGAGCCTTCTCTGCCTGGCTCACAGTACAGGCCGGGAACATCTCCAGTAGCAGCTCCACCCCATCCTTCAAGTCAGCACCTTCCTAGTTGGAGCAAGAGACAGAGGTAAGTTGGGAATGCAGTGAGGAGAGGGCTACTGAAAAGGGTCTCTGTTTTCTCATGTTCAGAAAATCCAGCTTGCCCTTTGTTGAAAGCTCCCTCTCCTTACCATTGTTACTAAATCTGATTCCTGAAGCTAACAGGGGACTGTATCTTTGGAAAGCCCAACTCCTCTTGTTCTCCTTTAATCTCCTCCCTCTGCATTTCAACTTGCTTTAAAGCAGGGCTCCTGTAACCTGACTCATCTATGTGGCCATGCTTAGGAGTGAACTTTCTGGACCTTATGGTGTGAATGCCTGACTGCTGCCCACCTTGTGAAGTTATATGTACTTTGATTAGAAAGGAAAGGGCCTGCTATACCCTGACCTCATGCTACATCAGAAGGAATCACCATAGCAGCTAGAACGCTTTGGACACAGAATGATTGTACTGCAGAGCAGGAATAGATCAGTACTGGAGAAACAGCAAGCAGGGCGTGGGGGAGGAAGGTGGGGTTGATGTGGAAGGTGCTGCAGTATCTGTAGCTGCTGTGACATCTCTGAAGGCACTGGAACAGGCTCTCTCAGCCATTGCTCTGGCTTACCCTTTCCAGCCACTGAAAAGGATGAGCCAGAGCATTGGCTCACAGTCTGTCAGCATGTAATTTTCTGAGAGTCTTGCTCAGGCTTTACAATGGAGAAGATCATGGACATAAGTGATGCTGTGTCACAGCCTATGCTGTGGTTCCTTCCAGAGCTGGAAAATGCTCTCAGATGGTGCTGACAGGTAGCCTAGTGCTGTGTGACTGTCCCCAGTGTTCCTGCTCCTCTGCAGGTACTCATACCTGGGCCCCGGCTCCGTCTGTTAGAGTGCACAGTCTTTCCCCGCTGCAGGCTCCAGCTCCAGGCTCCTGGCCCTTGGTGAGGTCTTCAGAGGGCGCTTCACTCCTGCTTTCCACAGCCTTTTGGCCAAGTTTTTCTTAAAGACACAGTGATATCTCCTGAGGAACAGTCCCACTAAGGCTAGAGCTCTGTGCTTTCTGTTGGCATTAGATTGCTAGTGCACTGTGTGCCAAAGAAAATCTCTTCTTAAGTGACAAGACTTGAAGCACTACTGTTTCTCCTGCCCTCAGCGGGGATAGCTGCAGCTCTGCTTCCACTGATCTGCAGGAAGCCAGTGCTAGCACATGCTGGAGTGCCTGAGTTCTGCATTTCTAGGCTGTACAAGGCATGGGCTGCTTGCAAATTCAATTCTACTTTTCAATTCTCAGTCCGCTAGTGCTTCGGTTGTGGCTACTTCCATTTCTAAGAATTCCCTGGTATTTTCTCTATCTTTGAGCTGAGATGTAGTTTTGATTTTAAACTTGGAAATACACTGTGGTAGTTTCCCAAGCTGCATGCAAGCCAGCACATCCTGTGATCAGGTTATTCTGATGCACATCTTTTTTTATAGGCTCTTTTTCTCACTGTAGGAAGAACCATTTCACTTTTGTTCTGTCCTAAGACTGAGATGGTGTGTTCCTTCCACACTCTGGCTACATCAGGATCCTCAAAGGGTAGGATGCAGGGGAGCAGAGCAGAGCAGTAGATTTTGTCAAGTTCAAGAAAGCAGCAAGTAAGATAAAAGACAGGACTGTCTATTCTACATTTTGTAGCCTTCTGGCAAGACAGCAGTGATGTTGCTAGACCAGCAAAACTCAGACTGGTCATGTCCTGGAGGGTTTGATATCCAGGCACTGCAACCTGTCTGTTCTTTGGTAGAATGTACCCATGGAGTAAACTGATACAGCAATCCAGCTGGTTTGTGAATGCTGAGGTTAGAAAGGGCCGTTGTCACAGTGTAGTCTTCTGCAGTCCTGCACAGTGCAGGTCAGAGCACATCACTGATCTTGCATCTGTGCCAGGGTTCATGGATGAATGGGAAGTGAGCTTTGAGTATGCTCAAAGTTAAATGTGATACATGTATGCAGCTGGAAACTCTATTTGATGATGCACCTGATAAAGGCTGCCCAGTGGTAGTGACACTTAGGCAGATGGCTATCACAGGCAGGCAGAAATCCTCGCTTTCAGAATTAGCCTATAGCAGAATTTCAACAAGCAGCCCTGAACTGGCTGTTTCTTTCTTAGTACTCTGACTTTGATCTCAATAGAGGTATTTGAAGAATTGATCACGTGTTTTTACTCCAGTATGTCTTGGGACAGTATTCCTTATGACTCCAATCTCCCATCTATTGATGGGAAAAGCCTGACTGAATGTTGAAAAAAAACCAAACCCAAACCTGTCAATCAATTCAAGCTACCTTATGAGTTCCTAACTGTGGCAAACAAGTTCATATTTTATTCTGTGACATTGTTCAACTCCAAATATTAAGACTAAAAACATACAGATCTTCTTGTGCTGAAATTGTTTTGTGTAACTCACCTTTGTTGCGAGCTTCACCAAGCCTTTCTGAGAGGGAGAACATCATTTCACAAACATCTGCACTGCAAGAGACAGAAGCTGTATAATTAGCATGAGGAATAAAAGCACTAGCCTATCCTACTTGGCTACTATTTAATAGAAAGACTTGATGGAAAGCCCCGTAAAATCAACTGGTATTTCAGATGGCCAAGGACCTATTGCAAATCATATTAAGATTAGCATCTATGTGATAAGAGTGACTTATTATGATAGTTCAGGCTTAGTACTAATACTTTTTCAACTGGATATAACAAAAGAATTTGCAGTACTGAGGGGCTTGGGGCCAGGCCCCTGGTGCATGGCATGCACATACAAACCAGTAACAATCGCATACCTGTGGATTTCTGCAAAACCAGGGATATATGCCTCCATCATTTCTACAAAGGTGTCCATGTCAAAAGCCTCTTCAGAAGACTCTGGTGAGCCCAGCTCTTCCAGGACACCCGTGATATAAGAGAAGAAAACATCATCCATCCCACTGGAGATAAAGAAAACACAGGTAGCAAGGTCAACACGTCCATTTCTTCCTTTCTCTCCATCCCCATTCTGCCTAACCTTGTGTCTTCCTAATACTGCAGCAGAAGGACCTTTGTGACTGTATGTTATGAGGAGATACCACCTGAAAGGCCAAGTAGCAGGTGGTCAGTGGTTGAGAGGGAAGCATTAACAGATAAATAGTGCACGTGGTCCTGCTTCCTGGGCAGCACTGAATGAAAGCCCCAGCGTGTGTTCCAGAGGCTGTGCTCCTGTGGGTGCTTCAGCTGAGCTAACCAGAATATTCCAAATGCTCAAGACCTTGGCTGTTCTATATTGACTGGTGTTTCAGGTGAGGTCATCATATTCTGTGAAGTTACACCTTCTATGGGATACAGTGTTCTCTGCTTGCTGTTCTCCATGCTTGTGTCACTGCTGCCACCAACTGCAAAACTAGCTGCTGTGTTCTAGCTTCAAGGTGGCTGTATCTCTGCATACAGGGAAAGGCCTGACATAGGTTATCCTGCTCAGAAAGCCGTTTGGGAGCACTATGGAATGAAGGAAATCCCATATCCTAATGTGTATTACTGGACAGGAAATTAATCATCTTGGTCATCAAAGAAATGACATTGCTAGATTGCAATGCTAAACTATAGTTGTTCTAGCATTCCCATCAGAACCTGTGCAAATTACCTACATCCTGGATCTGACTTAAAGGAGTGCAACAGCAAGTACAGGAAAACTACAGAATTCAGTATAATGCACAGAGTGACAATACAGAGTTCAAGCTGGAACAATGATATTGGAACTGCCTATCTCAACATACCTGAGATCAGCTGCAGGGATGTGGGACTGGATGAAGCGTGTCAGGGTGTCTTGAATGATTCTTTCAAGCTCCATGTCTCTCTAAACCTTTTTCTTAAAAAAAAAAAAAGAAAAAGAAAACTCCATGTAATTTTAATAAAATCAAAATAACAACATCAAAATGCAGGTATAATATAGGTAAGTGTGTTCTTCCCATGAGAACAAATCAGAAATTCCTCCAGCATCTTGTCTTCTCCAGGTAACAGTGGGCAAAGATATCCATAAAAAGCTGCAATATGAGGATCCACTAGAAAAAGGAGCCAAATATCTTGGGCCCCTCCTGGCTGTGTCGATGCTGTTGGTATGCAGCTGTACCGTACATTTAAGGAGTCCCCTCTGGGAAGCAAATCTGGAAATATAGATGTGTCCAGCTGCAGGACCCAGGGACACCTTCTGAGCTGGAAGACTGTGCTGTCCAGTGAGGAAGAAACAGGGAGTGGGCTTGTACACTCACTGCAGAAAGGGGTGGGCCTTCCAGCTAAGAGCATATGCAGTGATGCTTGGACTCGACTCAGGAATGAGTGGGAGGAAGGGTAATGTCTCCTAAAGAAAGGACATCCTAGAGCATATTTTACAGGGAAATACCAAGCAGGGCACAGACAAGTAGTCTGCCAGCCAAAATATCAAAGGTCTCCAGGTCAGGCATGAACTGCCAGTGGAATCCTGCCCAAACAGGAGCCTGTTGTTGTGCTTGGTAAATGAGCCATTCTACAGTTGATACAGCTGCAACAAGGGGCACTTGATAACCCAAAACTCAGGGGAGTTCTAAGAATCACAGAGCTCCTACAGAAGGAGTGGCAGAAGGGGGCTGCCCACAGGCCTGCTTTGGTTATCAGTACTGAGCCTGGACTGAACAGGGTGAAAAAAAGCTGTTTCTTAACCATTCTTTCCCTTTGGGTCTACAGAGCTGCTGGGTGGACAAATTCTTGGTATAAGCACCAAGTTCATCCCAGGAAGGAAACCAGAGAAACTGATATGGTCATTGGCCAGAGGGGTTCCAAGGGTCCCATCACGGCAGCTCTCTCATTTCAACCACACTAGAATCTGACCAGGCCTGTTCGACACAGAGTTCATGGAACAATCATATAGTTTGCTAACTATGATTCTGGTGTCCCATGGGAATCAGAAAGGTTTGCATTTCCCTAGATGAATCTTCCAGAGCTAGCAGGATATAAACAAAACCACCCCAGGACACTCAGCCATTTTTAAAATTACATAACTTGGGACATTAAAACACCTTTTGCATTATACCTTTAAAATCTACACTTATTCTAATGATGACCTTCAAGAGTTAAGGGGGAGATTCACTAGAAGAGTTTATCTTGTGTCCTCAGTTTTGTGTGGGAGTGATTTACAATGCACAAAATTACCTACTACCCAAAGGCAGGAGAAGTCACTCTCCTGAGAGCTCAGCTTTTCTGAAAAGATGTCACCATACTTCTAAACTTCCAGTCATAATTGCCATGTGGGTTTTAAGATCACCAGTTGTCACTGATGTTCAAATGTATCTGTGAAAGTCCTTCTGCATTTCTTGTTGTTGCAATGTGGGTTCTGTGTTACATGTTGAACAGAATCTATTTTTAAAAGCATATGATGAAATGATACTCCTATTGCTCTGCTCACAGCTACAGCCTTACAGTTTTGCACTGTCAGAACATGAGACCTTCAGCTCCTGGAAATCCCTGTCACTTTTCTGACATACTCCAGTCTTTAAACACTGGGTTTTTTTATCAAAGAGTGAGCAGTGAAGCATTGTATGTCATCTCATTAAGACAGGCTTAGTTTGAAGTACCAGGAGTGCTTATTTGAACCATGTAACATTGCATGGCATACGTATTTCCTCACCTCACGCAGAGAAAAGTGCTATCAGTTCTCAAATTGTGAATGTGAAAATTATTCATTTTCTGTATTAGATATTTTAGCCAGCATCTCAATAGTGTCAGTATCTATTGTCAGTGTCGAGAACCTAGCAATCTCAGCAATCTCCATCCCCTTGTATTCTCCTTCCCAACACATTAATGCCAATTTTATTTTGTTTGGTGGGATTTTTGGTAAAAATATTATCCCTCTAAAAGTACTATTGTTCTTGTGTTGTACAAAATAGCTACTTATGTTATATTGAAGAAAAGTTGGTATGAATCTGTCTTCCTCAAAAAAAAAGAAAGGGTGAGAATCGGAACTGTTTGCATATAGCTAGATTGTTTTGGAAGGCTCCTTCAACTCCAACTTCAGTAATCATTCTCAAATGGTCAATGTGATGGAATGGGAATGACTGTGAGCCTTGGACTTTTTACTAACAAGATAGACCTGAGCAATTTAGAGGAATGTTTCTGAACTAAGGAACTGCCATTTGGATGTATATCAGCTTTTATGGGATCATAAATTTGCCTACCGATGACTAGAGGTATCTGCAAGTGGAAGGAGGTGGGTGTTGTATCCTTGGATATTTCTCAGAATAGGTTAGAGCAAGTTTAGGTAAATTTGATCTGAGGACGTTCATTTAGCTCAAGTGTCAGTGATTATTTTTATGTGAGTGAGTAATGGGACAGGGGTGGTTCACTGAGCTCTCTGAAATATTTTTCTGAAAAAGCACAGAGCATGTCTTATGCTGCATGGTGTGTCTGTGCTTGGGGAAGTGCATTGCTCTGGGATATAAGGTCCTCTCAGTGCAGCCTGTCACAGGCTCAGAGGAAACTTCTCAAAAGGCATGTGCAAGACAGAGAACAATCTAGGGCTATACTCCACTGAACTACTTAACTCAAACTTTGCTGGCTTAAAAGAAAACTTTCCAGTCTAAATGACATTTTACAGACAATTTCAGTGCTTCTCTTTTTTGTTTTTCTTGCTAAAGAAGTCCCTGGAAGAGCTTTCACAGTGTGGCTGCTATGGGAAAGCAGGCTGAGGTCACTGTGTGTGTTAACAGAAGTAACTGCTTAATGCTCTGAAATTAATATAAGACTTTTGTTTATAGTTTAATCCCAGTAAACTACAGTGATAAAAGATAGTAATGCCAGTGGCCAGACTCTGCCCTCCCCTCTAGATCTACACTGGAAAGCTGTGCTGACACACCCTTACCAGAGCAGACGTGTCACCTGTACGAGGTCTTCGGCTCACGGCCAGTGTCTATGAAATCACTTCAGTGCCTGCAGAGGAGTCGCCAGTCCATCCTATGACTGCCAGGCCCGAGCCATGAATGAGGGAACCTTTACGGGAAAGGAAAGCTGAATTAGCTGAAGCAGGAGCACAAGAGAATCACTCTGCATATTGGTGTCTTTATGCTTTATGTCACTTGTGACCATTTTCCCTAACACAGATGGTACAGCTTTATTCTTTGGAATAAAATATACTTTATGAAAGGATATCGTGACTGTGAGAACTGTGTACCTGCCAACCTTCAAATTCACTGCGATGTCGTGATGTTTTTCAACACTGACAGTTCATGCAGCAAGGCCAGCGGTAGTCCCTGCACATCACCAGTGTATTCCAAAAGCACTGGTGGCCTCATCGCCGTGGCCAAGCAGAATTTGTCTCTGGAGGCTTTAAGGGACCAGACCAGAAAGCAAGCACCGCTGTTCCTGCCCTGCAGGTCCCCACGGCCGGAGCCTCGGTGGGAGCGGCAGCACGGGCTGGGCGGCTTTCACTGCGCTCGGGCCGCTCCCCGCCACCGCGGGCCACGACTCTTTCGGCTCCCTTGACAGCGAGGCCGTGCACGGGCCGGGTCCCCCGCCGTGCGGCCCGCACCGTGCGTCGGTCGCCGCACCGCAGAGGCTGCGCCTTACCCTGCCCGGCCCCTGGCCCGTCCCCCCCGCCCCCCGCGCTGCGGACCCCGGCGGAGAGCCCCACTCCCGGCTTCCTCGGGCTCCCCGGCGCTCTGTCCCGTGTCCCGTGTCCCCGCGGGAGGGACGGTACGGGCGCGCGCCGCCGCGGGGGGTTAGCGGTCACCTGATGGTCCGCGCGCCCCCGCCGCGCCGTCCTCCCTCCGCGCGGGACCCGCGCGGCGCGCTTGAACGCGTCACGTGGGCGCGCCCGCCGCCCGCCGCCGAGGCGCGCGCGGCCCGGCAGGGCAGGGCGGCTGCGCGCTGCCGATCCCCGCGCCGCCATCTTTGCTGTGGGCAGCGGCCGGGCAGGAGCGGGGCGGGCCGGTGTAGCGCCTTGGGAGTGCGGCGGGCGTGAGAGCGCTTGGCGGAATCACCCCGGGAAGGGCTCCCGGGAACTCTCTCCACTGCCAAGTGCCAGGGTCGGGTTCCCTGCTGAAAGGAGCGCGCTTTCAAGTGTTTGGGCCGGGCTGCCCGGCTCTTCGGTCAGCCAAAGCTCTGCTGCGGGATGCTCCCGAGCTGCCGCCCGCTTGCGGTGTCCTGGCTGAAGAGCACCCGCTACACCCCGGCTCGAGGAGCTGCTGTACAGTCTTTCCTTCTGCCACTTCGGAGGATTGCTGTTGTCTAGGACAGGTCATGCCATTCAAGAATCACAGAATTGGGTTGGAAAAGACCTCTGAGATCACCGAGTCCAACAGTTGACCTCACACCAACCTGAGAAGGCAGCGGAGCGGGATGGGGACAGGAGCGGAGCGGGATGGGGACAGGAGCGGAGCGGGATGGGGGCTGGAGCGGAGCCCTTTCCCTGCTCGCTGGCTGCACTCGCCCGTCCCCGGTCAGGCTCGCTGCTCGCTGTTTTGCCTGATCTGACAACGCAGTGCTGCCTGGTGCACCTTTGGAGAACTAACTCTCTTATGCCAACTCTTTCTTCAGAAAATCCTAAAGCAGCAAGGCATAGTTGTTCTCCGACTCATGCTCCTCAGTCATGTGTTACTAAATACCAAGCGAATGAGTCTGATTCTGCCCTTGGCAATACAAAAAAAAAAAAAAAAAAAAAAATCCAGAGTAATGCAGTGTTACTAAGAACAGAGTCTGTTTCCATTGCTTATTTCTCTTGAAATGTACATACCATTGGCACTGTATATGTCATTGTAGGAGTATCCACTGCCTTTCATTCCTTCTGCTTTTGACTGTTTTTAGCTGCACTTATCCATACATTAACCGGAGGTAATCAACTATGCTGCATTATCTTTCCTTTGATCTGTGTTTTTGCCTTAGTTTAGTAAACAGTTTGAAATCCTCTACCAAGCCTGCTATTTTTAGGTATCAAATTGTGTGACCCATTGTGTAAAAAACATGCTGAGAATGCAGCTGCTTCTGGGACAGGCTTCATCACAGTGAAATGGAAGGGGAATTTTTGAAGAAAATGAAGTAGCACATGTAAAGCCCTGTCCTGGGGTGACTTTATGATGCTGAATTATATCCCCATTTGTCTGTTTAGCCCAGAAATAAGTTTTGTGCCTTTAAAACTGGTTCTGAGAGTGAAGGGGGGAGAAGAAGCACGTGGTTTGTTTTCAGAAACTACACTTCGTCCCCTGCATTCTTTCTCATGGGCTGTGTTGTCTGCAGCATAGAGAGAGCTCTCCTTTGCTTTTAATTTTTTTTTAGCTAGCTGAGGCAGAGAAGTTCCCCAGACTGTGGCTTTTCTTTTTCTTGGAACTGTTCAAACCTGGAAAAACCCAGAAGAACACTGGGAGCTCACACCTGTGGCCCAGCGGGGCCTAGGACATGGAATTTTCCAGCACAGGAGGGACTGATAGAGACTGAGTGAGCCGAGCTACACCCCACAAAAGGAACTCTGTTTCTGAATTTGCCATCTCTTCAGAACAACGAGATATTCCATTGTTTAATATTTTTCTTTTTTTTTTTTTTTTCATGTTTGTAAGTACTTCGCTTGTTAAATAAACAGTTTTCCCACTTTTCTCCAAGGAAATCTTTCCCAAACCAGTGAGGGGGAAGGGCTGCTTGGATTTGCTTTTTAGAGGGATCCTATTTGGAAGTTCCCTCCTAAATTTGCCCTAAACGAGGACAAGCCCGTAGAAATTAACAATTTTTAAAGCTATGACAAACAATTGAAGTTGCCTTGTTTGACCTAATTTCTCTCATCAGTTCTTAACTAATTAGAACAGACATTCCTAAACAACTTTATGTTAAGAGGTTCTACCTGCTTTTTCCAGGTATTTCATGGCATCCTATTCATCAGCAGTATGTAAGGATTTGTTTAGCCTCAGGCTGCTTTGTAGTTTCCTTGGCTTGCTCAGAAACCTTGAGGCCCATGAGAAATTTTGAGAGTTCTCAGATACTGCCAGTTCAGACAATTTTTAAATTCTGACAAATCCTATGATTTTTGTATCACAAATTTCAGAACAACAGACTGGAGCTCTGTTTGTTGTTTTTTTCTACTACCAAGACTTTGAAGGTGACCATCAGCCAGGATGATGATGGGAGGAGAAAACCACACTGGACTTTGAAGCAGAGGTCTGAGAAAGTCTTAAGTTACAATACCACTGAAATTCGCCTATAACTATTTAAACTTCATAGTTGTATGCATTGAGTACACTAGGAAGTAGTGGCTTCTTTTAGTGTGCTTTGTTGCAATTTGATATTTCACCTTCCCACCTCACTCTAAACCAAACTGATGTAAGAGAGTGGGATTTTTTAAATTATAGCAATAGAAGAGGATTAATCTTGTAGTACTGGTAATAGATACAAGAAAAAATGCGGCATATGATAGCTCCTCAATTTTAAGTTAAATTCAGAGAGGTTTGACCTAAAGCTCAATAAAACCTCCACAGGGATTCCCTATACAAACATACAAAATACACCCTTCATTGAGAGTCCAGGCAGAAAGAGACAGCAGCACAGGAAATTGTTCTTGGAGAACCCTTCTACTCGTCAGTCACAGGCTGTTGCAAACCAGAAAGGTTAACACACCATCTAATTATTTGATAGGATTCATATTCCTTCACAAATGTGATGAATAATGCAAGTGTGTTGAATCAAGCCAGAGGAAAATTGTTCTTTCTCCAGCATTTTATTAACTCCTTGTAGTAAAATGTACTTGAAATCCTAGAATAGTTTGGGCTAGAAGGGACCTTAAAGATCAGCTCCCCACTATGGTCAGGGATGCCACCCAAAATGAGTTTGTTCTGTGACATTTTAACATGTGGGTGGATGATTCTTGTATGTGAGAAATTTTACTTTTACACGTGCTTCTCTTTATATTTTACTTGAAATTAGAGAACAAAAAGTACCCTTTCCACCTGATTTTGCCCCCTACTTAGGGCAGACTTAGTGTTCCCTACAATGGGTGTTATGCTGTTTTTGTATACTCTAGCTTTGAAAGCTAGTGATGGTTAAAATGAAGCAAGGCACATTGTACTGGGATGGGATTCCTGATATTTAGGCTTTATTTCCCCTTGTTTTTAGTTAATCTTATCACACGTTCATATGTGTCCTTGAGACTTCTTAACATACTTTCCTGTTGCTAACCCTAGAATATCAGTACACAGCTTTAAGTTTTGTCCAGTGCTTTTATTTTTATTAACTCAAACTGCATTTTAATTGTGATTTATCTTCAGTCCTCTACACACTCCCATTTTTGCAATAGAGAGAAAGAGTATTTTGAGAGCGGAGGGGTTTTCTTGATTTTTTTAAATTAACAATGGGTGTTCAAACTCATAGCTGTACAAAAATTTTAACAACTTCTGAACGGCCCTTTGGAAGCTCCCACATTTCCAGCCGCAGTTTCCTGGGAGTTGGGGATCGCGGCTTTGCGGGGCAGTGGGCGGACGGTATGGAACAGGACTGGATGGGATGGGAGGAGACAGGACAGGACAGGATAGGACAGGACGGGATGGAATGGGATGGGATGGGATGGGATGGGATGGGATGGGATGGGATGGGATGGGAAGGGCCGGGGGCCGGGCGCCCTCTGCCGGGCGCTCCCTGCAATGCCAGGCGTTCCTCGGGGAGCGCCGCTGCCGCATTCCCGAGCGCCCTGCTGGCTAGGTTGGTCACCGACGTGATTATTTTGGCATTCCAAAAGATGTTTCCTTCGGTTGGTCCTGGGAAAACTCGTGTTGCAATTGCAGAGTCTGACAGGTAGAGTAATCTGCATCTCTAGGTCACAATTAGGTTTATTAGAGCCCATTTGTCTTTACCCTTTCTTGGTAACATAGAATTCTATTTAAATATTTCCTTGTTTATTTGGTCACTCTTTGCCTCCTCTTATGTACATTTTGTCATGGTTACAAAGGCCTTGCAGTCAAATAAGAGACAATTCTGTGGTTGTGTATGACAAATGAATGTTTAATTCCCGCGACTTAGTAAGCTTTCTAGTGCTCACATGTATGAAGAATTCTTTTGTTTTTTGGTGACAGCGAAATGAGCAATTTGGCTAAAAATAAACAGCAAAGTATGTGAATAATAAATAAATGAATAATTTGTCATCCTTCTGTCAGGGAACCCATTGTGCTTTGCATTTGTCTTACAGTTTCCTATACAGTAGGCTGAAGCACAGAGTGATGACATGTTTCCAAAAGTCTCAGTATGAGCCTGTGGCAGAGCCAGAAAAAGGCATCAGGAATTTGTGTTCACTGACTCATTCAGTTAGAAGTGTGCCACTCATGCACATTTT